GATTGTCTAATTTGCTGGCATATAGTTGCTCGTAATATGTTCTTATAATTGTTCATATTTCTTTGGTGTTGGTTGTGATCTCCCCTCTTTCATTCCTGATTTTATTTATTTGGGTCCTTTTTCTTTTCTTTTTGATAAGTCTGGCCAGAGGTTTATCAATCTTATTAATTCTTTCAAAGAAACAGCTCCTAGTTTCGTTGATCTGTTCTACTGTTCTTTTGGTTTCTATCTCATTGATTTCTCATTTGTTTTTGACTTTGCTTATAGTGGTTTTTGTCACACATGTTTTTAACCTTTATGTAGTTAAATTAGTGTCCTTGTTTTTAATCCTTGCTGGGTTTTGTGCCATACTTAGGCCTTTTCCACTCCAAGATTAGAGATGATTCTTCCTTGGTTTCTTCTAATACGGTTGTGGCTTCATGTTTGTATATGCCATGATGCACTTGGAATTTATCATAGTACATGTTATAAAATAGGGACCAAACTTATTTTTTGGTTACCCGCAGTGTCCCAGCCGCAGTCACTGAGTGACTCACATTCCCTGTTTTCACAGCAGTGCGGACTCTTCCGGGGCGTCTTCCTGTGTGTCTGGGCCCACCTACAATGGCACCCTCGTTTGTGTCCACCCGCTTGCGGGGCTGGGATGCTGGAGTCCTGACCATGGCTCGGGCCCTGGTAACGGGCTGACCTCGGCTCTCCTTGCCTGCAACGTTCTCCACGTCTTCCTGGTCATTCACATTTATTGGGTTTTTCCGTGCAATCTTTAGACTCAGCTTTACACCCCTCCCCAAACCGTGCCTCATTTTCCCGGGGCCTCATTTGTGCTTGGCTCCTACCTCCCTGACTTTTGTTTCCCACCTTCCTGCTCCCTCCTGTTTCAGGGCGGCCTTGGTGGGAAGGACAGCGCCAACCCCTGTACCCGCTTACCCCTCCTCCCCCCGCCAGAGTCTGGCGGCCCCTGCTCTGCTCACTGTGACTGTGGGCGCTTCCCTCTCATGTCTTGGTTTGTATTTTCTCCTTAGCGTGCTTTAAAAATGTTTTATTTTCTCCTGCCTTTTATTGGATAGATCACATTTTTCATCTCTTGCCTGCTTTTATTTTTTTTATATATATATTTTAAAGATTTTATTTATTTATTTGATGGAGAGAGACACAGTGAGAAAGGGAACACAAACAGGAGGAGTGGGAGAGGGAGAAGCAGGCTTCCTGCAGAGCAGGGAGCCCGATGCGGGGCTCGATCCCAGGACCCCGGGATCATGACCTGAGCCGAAGGCAGACGCTTAACGACTGAGCCACCCAGGCGCCCCCAATACTCTATTTTTAATCTTCTGGTAGTCACTCCCAACTTACTAAGACCTACTTATTTTCATTTTGCTCTAAGCTTGTTGACATCTGTATTTTTCTGCATTTTGCATTGGTATCAATGAGAACACTAGCTGTTGGGGAGGGGTATCTCTTAGACAAAGTAAATTTGACTAAATTCTTTCTTTAAATAAATATTTTATGTATTTATTTGAGAGAGAGAGTGAGAGAGCACACAAGCAGGGGGAGCAGCAGAGGGAGAAGCAGGCTCCCCGCCGAGCAGGGAGCCCGATGTGGGGCTCAAACCCAGGACTCTGGGATCATTACCT